ATATCCAATAGTCATTCATTCACATATTATCCAATAGTCATTCATTCACATATTATCCAATAGTCATTCATTCACATATTATCCAACAGTCATTCATTCACATATTATCCAATAGTCATCCATTCACTTATTATCCAATAGTCATTCATTCACATATTTTCCAATAGTCCTCCATTCACATATTATCCAATAGTCATTCATTCACATATTATCCAATAGTCATTCATTCACATATTATCCAATAGTCATTCATTCACATATTATCCAATAGTCCTCCATTCACTTATTATCCAATAGTCATTCATTCACATATTATCCAATAGTCCCCTATTCACTTATTATCCAATAGTCATTCATTCACATATCCAATAGTCCTCCATTCACATATTATCCAATAGTCATTCATTCACATATTATCCAATAGTCATTCATTCACATATTATCAAACAGTCATTCATTCACATATTATCCAATAGTCATTCATTCATTCATATATTATCCAATAGTCATTCATTCACATATTATCCAATAGTCCTCCATTCACTTATTATCCAATAGTCATTCATTCACATATTATCCAATAGTCCCCTATTCACTTATTATCCAATAGTCATTCATTCACATATCCAATAGTCCTCCATTCACATATTATCCAATAGTTATTCATTCACATATTATCCAATAGTCATTCATTCACATATTATCCAATAGTCCTCCATTCACTTATTATCCAATAGTCATTCATTCACATATTATCCAATAGTCCCCTATTCAGTTATTATCCAATAGTCATTCATTCACATATCAAATAGTCCTCCATTCACATATTATCCAATAGTCATTCATTCACATATTATCCAATAGTCATTCATTCACATATTATCAAACAGTCATTCATTCACATATTATCCAATAGTCCTTCATTCACATATTATCCAATAGTCATTCATTCACATATTATCAAACAGTCATTCATTCACATATTATCCAATAGTCCTTCATTCACATATTATCCAATAGTCATTCATTCACATATTATGCAATAGTAATTCATTCACATATTATCTGATATTCTCGTTCACATTTTATCCAATAGTTCTCCATTCACATAATATCCAATAGTCCTCCATTCACATAATATCCAATAGTCATTCATTCACATATTATCCAATACTTATTCATTCACATATTATACAATAGTCATTCATTCACATATTATCCAATAGTCATCCATTCACATATTATCCAATAGTCCTCCATTCACATATTATCCAATAGTCCTCCATTCACATATTACCCAATAGTCCTCAATTAACATATTACCCAATAGTCTCATTCACATATTATCCAATAGTCATTCACTCACACATTACCCAATAGTCATTCATTCACATATAATCCAATAGTCCTCCATTCACATATTATCCAATAGTCATTCATTCACATATTATCCAATAGTCTTTCATTCACATATTATACAATAGTCATTCATTCACATATTACCCAATAGTCCTCAATTAACATAATATCCAATAGTCATTCATTCACATATTATCCAATAGTCATTCATTCACATATTATCCAATAGTCATTCATTCACATATTATCCAATAGTCATCCATTCACATATTATCCAATAGTCCTCCATTCACATATTATCCAATAGTCCTCCATTCACATATTACCCAATAGTCCTCAATTAACATAATATCCAATAGTCATTCATTCACATATTATCCAATAGTCATTCATTCACATATTATCCAATAGTCATTCATTCACATATTACCCAATAGTCGCGTTCATATATTATGCAATAGTCCTCCATTGACATGATACCCAATAGTCATTCATTCACATATTATCCAATAGTCATTCATTCACATATTATCCAATAGTCATCCATTCACATATTATCCAATAGTCCTCCATTCACATATTACCCAATAGTCCTCAATTAACATAATATCCAATAGTCATTCATTCACATATTATCCAATAGTCATTCATTCACATATTATCCAATAGTCATCCATTCACTTATTATCCAATAGTCATTCATTCACATATTTTCCAATAGTCATTCATTCACATATTTTCCAATAGTCCTCCATTCACATATTATCCAATAGTCCTCCATTCACATATTAGCCAATAGTCCTCCATTCACATATTATCCAATAGTTATTCATTCACATATTATCCAATAGTCACCCATTCACTTATTATCCAATAGTCATCCATTCACTTATTATCCAATAGTCCTCTATTCACATATTATCCAATAGTCATCCATTCACATATTATACAATAGTCATCCATTCACATATTAGCCAATAATCCTCCATTCACATATTATCCAATAGTCATTCATTCACATATTATCCAATAGTCCTCCATTCACATATTATCCAATAGTAATTCATTCACATATTATCCAATAGTCCTCCATTCACATATTATACAATAGTCATCCATTCACATATTAGCCAATAATCCTCCATTCACATATTATCCAATAGTCCTCCATTCACATATTATCCAATAGTCACCCATTCACTTATTATCCAATAGTCATCCATTCACTTATTATCCAATAGTCCTCTATTCACATATTATCCAATAGTCATCCATTCACATATTATACAATAGTCATCCATTCACATATTAGCCAATAATCCTCCATTCACATATTATCCAATAGTCATTCATTCACATATTATCCAATAGTCCTCCATTCACATATTATCCAATAGTCATCCATTCACATATTGTACAATAGTCATCCATTCACATATTAGCCAATAATCCTCCATTCACATATTATCCAATAGTAATTCATTCACATATTATCCAATAGTCCTCCATTCACATATTATACAATAGTCATCCATTCACATATTAGCCAATAATCCTCCATTCACATATTATCCAATAGTCCTCCATTCACATATTATACAATAGTCATCCATTCACATATTAGCCAATAATCCTCCATTCACATATTATCCAATAATCATTCATTCACATTTATTCACTCATTGTGTGTTCCATACCTGACAACATACTGCTATAAAGCATTGCTGGAAAATAATGATGGAAATACAGAACTCTGCGCATCAAATAAAAAGGAAAATAATGTAGTGCCCAACCACATAAAAACCAATTACATGAGAAGAGGAATTTTTCTTTCAAGCCTGTAAATAAAATCATAAAATTATTTGTAGATGATCACATACAATGCTGCGACATTATAATTAATTCGTTGTATTAGTGACCTACACATTGCACACATTATTCACACAAACAGATAAAAAATATAAATATGATAACCATCTGCCATTTTGAATCTGATCTGATAAACAAAATGATTTGTACCAAGATCCCATAATGTCCAATGTATGTACCAAGTTTGAACAGAATCCATCTATAATTGGCTGAGATCTGGTTTGGGAATTGCAGAAATTTTGAGGAATTTTAACTCAGCCATCTTAAATCAGATCATGAAGAGAATGGATGTGCATGTGTATCGTATAAAAAGTTTTAATGTTATGGGCATGCACAAAAGGTCACTGTGTCCAAACGACTAATTATTGTTGAGCACTTAAACATTTAATTGCACTTTCTACCTTTGAAAAATATGAAAACAGTTGTACAGATATTTAGTGGCTTGAATTCTTCAGTCAATTTAATAGAGTAGTTTCTGCCTTGAAATAATCATTGCATTATTTATTCACTTGATTTTAATTATGCTATTTTCACTGTAACAGCTGCTAAATTAAACCCATGTGAATGTATAAAATAAGAATAGAACTCATGGTTTCATTGGCTAATGCGTTAATTTAAAACTCAGTTAATATGCTGAAAACGATGAAATTAAATGCAGTGAAAATAAATGGTTTTATAGTAGTGACTATTAGTAGTTTTAGAGGACGCCATCTCATCTCAAGAATGGTCATAATAAGTACAAGTAAACAAATTTTAATGAAACTCACTTTCTATGCTGAGTTTCTCTGTTACATCTCTTTTTGCAATAACAGCATACATACAAGCTAATAGAATGTATACACATAGACAAAACAAGTTAGCCAACCAAATTACAGGATTTCCCAATAAATACACTCTGTAATCAGTTTCATTCACACCAGAAAATCGTTGACCCTGCAACAAAAACAAACAATTCACATATATATATATTTTTTTATCTACTTAAAAATCCTACATAAAAATAACTCCACAGGATTATTTGCAATAAAGTGACTCCAGGATATTTAACAAGACATTTGTTTTTGAGAA